CAGCATGGCTCTGTGCGATGAGGAGAAGAGGTTTTGGCAGCAGAGAAAAGACAATATCATGCACAGCATGAAATCATTCCTAGGAGAGGAAAACAGCAAGAGCTTGACCACTTCCCGTGATGTAAGTTTGGAGAGTTCACAGCAGGATTAATCTCACCCGTGGAGTCCTGCATTTGTCTCTCAGAGGGGTGAATGAGACATACGAGCTAAAGGGTTCAATGCAAAGGCAGGTGGCAGGACCAAAAAAAATTCCTTTACCTCTCTGCGCATACAATATTTAGAATGGAGAATAATTGTGCTCTGAGTTTATGCATCAAAGTTTAAGGAGACAAAATCCTCTGCCAAAATGAAGCCTCACATAAATAAGATATGTGCATTATGTGCAGAAGGACAAGACTGCTGAAATGCCATCGTAGGATACACATCACAGCTTTTCGCTTGCCCTGTCACCTTAAAGAAACTGCTGTAACTTTTATCTGCTTCCTTATCATTTAAATCCTCAGCAGGCTGTGCCTAGTGAACACCGGGTGAGGGAGATAAATCCATGCTTCTCGTTTTGCTCCGGTTCCGAATGCGGTGCGTCGTTGAGGCGTTGGTTCTGGGGAAGCCTGCAGGGCCTGTCCGGCGCCTGCTCGGGGCCGCGGGCCGCGGCGCTGGGTGCCCGTGCGTGCCTGGGCTCCAGCCCGTGCTCTGGCAATGGCCGGGGCGCCGCGGCCTTCGTGTCTGAAGGGTTAGGCAGGGAATGAGCTGGTTTAGTTTCAGAATCAGTTTGGAAATGACTTTCCTTCCTTTCTTCTGTTCCTTTAGCCCCTTTGATAGGATTAGGGTGAGGAAGTTTATTCCTTAGCGACTGTGAGAAACCGCAGCGTTCAGTGACGGGCTGGTGCTCTCTGCCAGGCCAGCAGGTCTGGAGGGACGGGTGGTGCTTTGGGAGTGAGCAAAGGGTGCTGACCCCTGCTGATCTGTTCAGTGGTTTAGTGAAACACTCCATTATTTTGTGATAGTTAAGGATGCACTCGGTACAGGTCGACTGGTTTTGTTTTAGCTTTTCCATCCTCTTTCTTCCTTGCTGCTTCCCCGTCCTGTTCTGCTCCGAGAATTGTGACGGGAAGACCGTGTGTATGTGCGGGGTGTCAAGCAATGAACAGTCAATTAATTAATCTGGGTTGATTATTTCATTGATTTTTGTTCCTTTTGTGCATTTTTAGTACAAGCAGAACCTGACAGTCTTTTGCAGAAGCTGGAACCAGCACTGAAGAATTCCTTTTAAATTTCTCTGACGTTTTGAGCAGGTGGTAAATGTGTTATTGTGGTGTACTTTTAAAATGTCTTGCGTAGTAAAATGTGCCGTGAGAGCTTTCTGAGGAAGGTGAAAGAATTTGACGAGTATTGTACGTATTTTCTTTGTAGAGATACAAATTGTGCACAATGTAAAGGAACATTTTCAAGGTTTTTTTAATTTTCAGTTCAGTTATTTTAATCTTAACACGTGCAGGTCTTGTCAGAGTAGATGTGGATATGTCATTGGTCTGGTCTCGTGCAGCAGAACAATACCTTTCTCAGAAAGGATGCGGGTATTCTGCCAAGGTCCAGTTGGGACCGGACGGAGACTTAGTGCCTGCAGTGTCAGTTCTCTGGTGGCACGCGTGCAGGAATTACTGCAAACACGAGGTGAGATTTCATCTGCTTTTTGGCATCAGCTGCCATTGGTGTCCCTCACTTTCTAAAACACTGAAAGCTTATCAGTTAACTGGCACCTTCCAGGACCAGACAGCGATCTCCGATTGTAGGCTTATCGGCCCTAGGAAGGACTGAGGTAATGTCATCCGCCCGTTTTTCACATGCCAAGTGCGTGTTTTGAAGCTGACTTGTCAGAATTTTTAGCTGCTCCCAGCAATGAAAAACCCGTTTCGTTCAAATTAAAATATAGCTTTGTCCTTATAGCCTGTCATGTTTCCTTTTATTGCTACAGATGGGAGATAGCAGGAGGATTTATAGGACATTTCGTAGTCTTAACATGGCATCAGAAGTCAGGAGACATGATGAGTATTCATAGTTGCCTGTGAGTCACTGTTTGATCTTAAACAAGTCACTTACTCAAAGTTCACTTGAGTTCCTTCATCTGTGGATAGCAACACGTGTGCCTCGCAGGGATGCTGTGAGACTTTAATACCTCTGAAATCATCACGCATCCCTAGACGGGGAAGTGAGTGCTTTCAGATTTCCGTACTTAATCCTGAGGTACATTCTGGAAACGCAGAGGATGACAGTGCTCATACTTGTGTTATCGCTCAGTTTATTTTTGTAATTTTTGTTGATTTAAACAATTTCTAAAAATACTTAAATCAATTAAAGAAAGCATATAAGACTGGGTTTGCACAATTTTTAATAGTCCTCTGTGGACCCTGTGGCAATTTTTTTTCCACCACAGGCATTCTCGTCCAGATTTTGTGCGCTGTGTTTCCAGCGCATCGGGATAAATATGTCTGCACTACTCATTCCCAAAACAAGATTTAATAAGTTTTAGCGTATGTTTTAGCTTTTTTTGCCAGGTTACTGGAAAATACGATTGAGATTGTCTTTTTTGGAGCCCGTTTTTCTTAAAACATATCTTGTTTCCTGAATCCTTTTCATTTTCGTGCCCAGTCTGGCAATTAAGCAATCGGTGCTTGCTGAGGTGAGGCACCTGTTGGTTGAAGGGGAACTGGACTGTGCTGAGCGTCCTGGGAGCGGTGCAGATGCGCTGACCAAACACTTCACTAGCCTTGTTAAATCCTTCTCAGCGGAGTTTGTCTGGATGATAGCTAAGCTGGTTTGTTCAAAACCAGTTTGGGTCCCTCAGCATTGTGCCATGCGGACCGGCCATAGGAAGCAGAAAGCCGTGCTGGCACGGCCTTTTGGTAGTATGGGACTGAGCGTGGCAGTGTGGCCAGGGATCAGAGAATTGGGCTTTTGTTGCCAAGACTCTTGAATTTCATTCACATTTTTGCCATTGACTCACAGCGTCACTTTCTTGTGAGTCACCTTACTACCCGTTTACTAATCTGCTGGAATGGGTTCAGTACCTCTGCCCAGGTTTTACTGATCATGTGCAAAGGACTTTGGGTTCAGACTGCCTCAAGAGCGGAGCGCGTCAGCCCCAGCCGGTGTACGTGGAGAAGCGTGCACGCCCTGGTCTCCTGCCTTTTCTCCATTCTTTCTTGGTTGTGAGATGGCTTCTTGGTTCTTTTCCCTTTGTACTCTGTCCGCAGCTACTTCCCTCTGCCTATGCTGATGTATCCTGCAGAGGAACTTGTAAGATGGGTGTGTGTAATCTCACATTGTACCATTTCTTACCTTTAAACATGTTGGAAACTGAATTGCAGCTCAAAAGCTGCCTTAACAAACCTACCTGCTTGCAAATGTGCTCGACCTTCCTCTGCAAAGCAGGAGAGGACTCCTGACTTTCAACACCTGGCTTACGCCTACGAGTCAACTTGTATTCAGTTGGCTGAAGCAGATGAATGGAAATGCGTGGTAGATGCTTCTCTTCAGTTATTGTTTTCATTATTTAAAAGCTGGATTTACTGTGGGAAGCTGGCTTAAGCTGCTGCCCTCTACCCTAGAGCTCTTCCGCTGAATTTCATTTCTGGAAATACAGTAGTGATTGCAACTCTTCATACTTTGCTTTGGTATCAAGGGGAAATGAAGAAATACTGCGCATCCACCTACCCCTCGGTATACCCACCCTCCCCCAGTACAGGGGTCTGTGGTTCCCAGAAGGGCTGTGGGTGAGGTAGACAGCATTTGTGGGCAGGGTGCTGGTGACTCTGCTCAGCTGTCCTGGTTGATCCTCCTTACAGATGTCTCTGCATCCTGAAGAAAATTCAGATTTTCCCTTGTGCTCATGCCACTTCACTGACGAAGATTTGTTGAATAGTGGCGCTTTGGAAGCGTTCCTCACATACTTTTTCCACCTGCACACCACCATCTTCATCCTGTTGGGATTTGCCTTTGTAGGTTAATTAGGTAGTGTTTGTAAAGAGCTTTCAAAGCCTAATGTACGTTACTAAATTTGTGATTAGTAATATGGCTCTTCTGTTCAAAGCAACTGCTCCGTTATTGGGGTGTTGGCTTAACAAAACAGGCATGTCCTAAATCTTCACCTTTCTTTTGTCATTTTTTGGTAGATAGCTATCTCTGGAGGGGCATGACGAATGCTGATGGCAGTAAATACCTGCGGTTTCTGTTACTAAAGCTGAACACTTATGAAGAAGACAGTTAGATAATCTCACTGCATCAAGAATGAGCAGTGTTTGCGGAATGGAAGCCTCGGGAAATGTCTCACCTGACTTGGTCACTGCGTGGTCATTTCGGCGCGACTGTGCGTTTCCAGTCCGCGGGCGAGTTTCACGCCTTGCAGTGGGTCTGCAGGAAGAAGCGGAACTCAGTAGTCACGTGGTTGCCTTTCGTATAACTGATCCCATCCATTGGCACCCTAAATTGCATTTCAGTGACATTTTGACTGATGACTAGTTTGATCAGATAGGGGCTTTCTGCACAACTGTGTAATTCTTTTTATGCTTAGTAACAACTGAGAGAGCGTTACCTTATTACCATTGATGGTGGAAAATTCTTCAGGGTTTCAGAAACTGGGAACCAGATGGGAGCTTTGCTTAGCCTAAAACCCTTGATGATGGTGGCAAGTGAATTTTCATTTTATTTTGTCGTCTTTCTAGACACTTGGGGAAACTGTGCAGTGGAAGGGAACAGCTCTGAATCAGGGCTGGGAAGGCTGGGGAGTAAGAGGGAAAGAAGCATAAAACAAAAATGTAGTTACATTTCCAGTCTGGTGTCGCTTGTAACTGGGTCTGCTTTTGGTCACTTTGCTGTCTCTTGGTAGCTGAGGAGGTGTGCAGACACGCAGAAACTCTCCTTATCTCTCCTGTAGTTTTTGCAAGGTAGTTGTAAATTTGAGACTGTCTTCGTGCTATGTGGTAATATCAGATGTTTTTATTATAAAATGTTTTTAAACTCCTAGCCAAAATATTATTTGTCTCTCTTCTGTTTCTGATTAGTAACTTTTACAGCTTTTGGCTCTGTCACAAAGATATCGCTCGGATTAAAGCTGGTGTTTAGATTGCTTTAAAAATTTATGTGGTCTTGTAACTAAATAGTTTATTTAATAATTAAGTTTAATATCTTCTCTATTTCGCGTTATGGAGAAGAAGGACAGACATTAGAAAAAAATTCTGAGTATGTTTTTGTTTAGAAATATTGCTACAAGTGGTGACTTCTTCAAATAAATTCTGATTCTTCAGATACCAGGCAGTCAGAGTTGTCAGTAACAGGGTGTCGTGGGACAATGTGCTTTCTTCCTGTCCTGGTGTTGCCTTGTTCATACTTTCCTTCTTGCCTGCACAGGAGCCAGGCGCATTCAGCTTCCCCTTATATCCCTGCGTGCCAGGTGCTTCGCTACCTCCTGGTTGCTCGTGGTCCCTAGGTACAGGATAAATAGGAAGGTGGGAGGAAGTCTGCTCTGCCCTTGGTGAGGTTTCTGCCGTGGCAGGCAGAACCTCTCGTGCTGCTGGCTGGTTCCTGGCTTCCCTTACTCGTGAGCAGCAGCGCTCTCCTCCCGTGCTGCAGCCCCGAAGTGCTTCTGCCGCCCGGCTCTCGGTGAAGCAGAAGGGGCTGAGAGATGACGTACAGATACTGCACATCGCTCTTGGGGGCCAGAGAACCTGAGGGGGACAGGGAACTTCATGGGTGGGATTACAGTACTGCTCCATTCTACGTACAGTGGTTAAAGTCATATCTCAAAGTGCTCTCTTGAGGTATTTTGCTGTTCTTGCACACAGGTACCACTGAGAGACTGCAGAATACTTACTTTCTGGCTTGTTAGAGCTTTTGTGCATTGATTTGGAAAAGTGCAGGTTTCTTCTCTGCTGGGAGGGTCTCTGGAGGGTGAGCTGTTAACTGCACAAGGCTGGTACCTTTGGCCGACGATTGATGGATAACGTTTATTTAGTACTGTGAAGTCTTTATCAGAATTGATGTGGTGATGTGCCGTTCTTCTCATCTGTGCAGGTACCAGTGATAGCGATACTGGGGTCAGGAGGTGGATTTCGTGCCATGGTGGGGTTTGCTGGAGTCATGAAAGCACTTTATGAATCAGGAATTTTAGACTGCGCGACTTACATTGCTGGGCTCTCAGGATCCACATGGTAAGGGTTTTTTCTTTTGTTTTTCTTCAGTTTTCCTTCAGGAAGTTCAAGAACAAATTTTCATGAGAGTTGACATATTGCTAAGTTTGTAATTCACAGAAAATTTTATGGATGCACAACCAGTACAGAAAGGACATGCAGAGGTAGGTGTCTTGCAGCGTAGCAGGTCAGTGGAGCAGGTCTGCTGGTGGAGGTGTTCCAGAGTGCCTGGGGGGGTGAGGGCTGCTCGTCTCCAGGTGATCTTCCTAGCAGCTTCGACAGCACGAAGGGATGGAGAGAGGCGTTACGCGTATGCACCACATTTCTGTGTCGACAGCCAACACTGTACCTACTGATTCTTCCATCTTGATAACCAAAAAAATGAAGAACTTGATCTGTTGGTATAAATCCAAAATATTTTTTGTATTGTTCTAATTTCCTGATGAAATGGGGAAAAAAAAAAAATTCTTGCAATTTGAAGGTGATGGCTCATTCAACCCAAAATGGATTATATCCTTTAGGCCCCTTTTTAGAGATTCTCAAAATCACTGTAAGATCTTCTGCTCCACTCTAGGCTCAGTAAACCCCTGCTTAGTGGATTTGCTGGGGATGCCTAGGACCTGTTTACTGATTCTTTCTTAGCGTGAGGAGACTGGAGCAAAGGTATTTCAGCTTGTGGGAAAGAATACCGGCTGACTGCCGTGCTGCAGGGCACCCTGCTGTGGGTTGTCCAGGATGTCTCAGTGAGCGTGTCCTAATCGGGTAGTTATGGTGTCCTTCTGCCTGACTCGGTGAATGCTCCAGCCCACGAGCAGGAACAGCATCACCGGGAGAAAATCAGTGACGTCACTGCGTGAAATGCACTCGCCGGGCGTTACGAGCTCGGGGCTCTTTAGGCAGCAGAATGCTTGGAAGCCCAGTGTTGTGTCTGTCCTAGCCAGTCTGCTGAATGAGAGGGTTTCTCTGCTCCCTGCCCAGTGCTGTGAACCTGCAGCCTGTTGTCTTCTTGACTTTTATAAAAGTTGGCCCAATTTACATTTATTACCAACGTTGAAACTATTTGTTTTGATATTGCTTGAACGAAATGATGCAACAAATTTAAAAGCTGTTTAATTTTCATCAGCCAAAGACATCTGAGAAATTCGATCCAAATTTCTTCACTGTTTGAACACCGTAACGCTACAGATTTTTCACCAAGTGAAAAATTGCAGACCTTTTTTTTGTCTAACTTTAAAACTTGGTTTTAATGTCATTGGATCAGGTTGCAGTAAGGATGTTACATCGTAAGAAAATCTTGAACTTTTCAAGGGAGCATCCCAAATGTCACATAATACGATTTTATTTTAGTATACATTATACATATATTTTACATACATTTTTTTTATATGTACCAGTTTGAATACTGGAGCTGCGTCTGAGTCCAGTTTAGGGCCACCTACTAGAAGGAAGGCATTGTCAAAATGGATTCATCCCATCAGTGTCACCTGGGCACTGCAGGGGGCTGGAGCACATGACAAAGGGAGGCAGCTGGGGTTGTGAAGAAACTAGACTCTTCTTGGAGACACACAGAGGAAGGACAGGGCTAATGGCCGTAATTTATGTCAAGAGAAATTTGCCTAGCTGTTAGGAAAATTATTCTGCAGTGAGAGTGGTCACGCGCTGGAATGCATTAGCTGGCTGGGCTGGGTGAGGTGTCATCCTCTCCCTCGCTCAGTGACTGCTCCATGTGAAAGTAGACCTTGGCTGAACAAAGCCCTGAGCAATCTGATCTGGCTTTGGAGTTGGTTCTGCATTGAGCGGGAAGCGGGAATAGAGACCTCAAGGTTCCTTCCAGAAGTACAAGATCATAGGAATATCACCTTTCTTTGAGAGTGAGGGAGAAAGGCTGTTGTTGGAGTAGCTAAATGTCAATGAGCAGGGGATCTGCCGGGGCTGACTTTTATCCGCTGGGTTAACTCTAAGGAAGCACCTGAATTTGAGTTCCACACTTCCTGAGGCAGTACACTAACCCCAAAGCTGCCAACTGCTTCGACACAGAATGATCTGTTCCATTCCTTCGCTGGCTTTTTTCAATGATTTTCACTGGTGTGACGCTGGCTTCCCCCCTCCCAGACTAGAGAGGGAGCTTGCGGACTGCCAGGAGGTGTTGAAATGCCAGGGTGCCTACGAACGAGAGGACGTTTCTCGGTCAGATTTTGGACTACATCAGTTGGTATCCCTGGACCCTGGGTTTTCTGTCCCTGGTGGGGGGTGCAGATTTGTCACTGCTTGTGGAGAGACCTGGATGTGCTGTTGTCACTTTGCAAAAGGTGGAAGATGCTGTTTGGCTGGCTGAGGGACGCGGATAGTGCGGTGCAGCGTGAAACACTTTGGCTGTGTTTCTAGGGAACGGCTTGTGGTCCACGCTCTGGAAAGGCGTCAGGCAGCTGGCCATCAGGTCCTGTTTTGGGAGAACCCAGGTGTGAATGCATGGTTGAGCTAATGCACACCTGTAAAATCTGTATTAACGTGGCAAGGTTATCTGACCTGATTCAGTCGGGAACATCTGTTGGAAACAGTTGTATTTAAACAATTTTACTTTTGTAGTCTTGGTGATGTCATCTCTTCAGACTTCCCTTGCTTGATGAGTAAATAATTTGACACTTTGGCACTCCCTTTCTTTTCTTTTTTTCTTTACTTGGGAATAATCTCTTTTTTTTTTTTCTTTTTCTTTTTTTCCGAAGGGTGGAGAAATCCTTTCCTGCAGGGAGAGGCAGGTTTTTGCTTGTTCCTCGGACGCACGCCTAATCTCGGAGCAATGCATTTACCTCCCTGATTGCTTCTGTCATCTTGCTTGAACCTCGCACTGAATTCTTCATCCTGCATTTTCCTTTCTCTGCTCGCGTGGAAACTTGCTGCCGTGTTCGGTCCACCCGTGAGCTGACGTGCACGCTGAGCCTTAGAGGCTGCACAAGGACGGGTGAATCAGGTTCTGACATCATACGTGGGGCAGGGCTCCTCGTGCTGTGGAGTGAGTTGCTGGGCAGTGAGCTCAGGGCCAGGCTTACACGCTGTGGATCCCACTGCTGTGCAGAATGATGCCTGCAGCATGGTATGTGTGCCTGCGCCGGCTAATTGAATAAATAGCAGCGAAACGAGCGTCTAGTAGATGAGGAAGCCTATCTTGAGACTTCACCCGCAGTGTTACTTAAGCTAACCAAGTGCAAACCACCGTTACCTGCGTGGGTGTCTAAACTTTCAGTAAACAGAACTTCAGTTTCCAGAGTTACTCAGTGACAAAAACCAAGATTTGCCTGACAGGCCTCTGCTGAATCCTCGGGGTCAGTTCTGCCTCTGCAGAGGTGGTTGTTATTGTGCTGCAGCTGATTATGAAAACATCTAGATCGGGGAAAGCATGCCAGATATTAGCATGTGCTAGGAATTTTTGAACAGTAATAATGAACTGGAGAGTGACAGAGAGGTAGATCTCCGAGTGAAAGAACTGCATGTGTGTACGCTAGGACCTCCGGTCTGCCGAACGGAGGTACGCTGTGACGACGCGAGAAGCTGTTTGTTCAGCTTACGATGATCCACTGTCCCTTAAACAGACAGATGAGGAACACGGGAATCTTCTACCCCGTGCACATGATGGAAATGTGTGTGGAGTGGGTGATTGTATGCTTACATTCAGAACAAATTGTTTAGCTTTCTATGCCCTGAGAAAAAAGAAATGACAATTTACTTTATAAATGGCGAGTAAATGAATCTGACTTACTCAGTAACTGTATGAAATTATTTATGAGCTTATTGTACGCTTCAGGCAGCTGACATTGAAGCAGGCTTGGATACTCACGGAGCCTACGTTCCGTTGCAGGTACATGTCAACTTTGTACTCACACCTGGATTTTCCAGAAAAAGGACCAAAGGAGATTAATCAAGAGTTGATGAACTCTGTGAGTCACAACCCACTTCTGCTGCTCACTCCTCAGAAAGTCAAACGCTACATTGAAGCACTGTGGAATAAGAAGAGCTCCGGCCAGCCTGTCACCTTCACCGACATCTTTGGCATGCTGATAGGTGAAACCCTTATCCATGATGTGAGTTCATTTTTCTGATTGTTAGAGTTGTGAAACTGTTGTGTAGTAACTGCTGTGACTTTTTTTTTTAAATGACCTTGGTAACATTGAACAAAGCATGTTTAGCAATACCGATACTTACAGCTGAAGAGATACTGGAGAAGAAACTTATAAAATGCTTGCCTTGCTCTGGGACATGTTTCTGAATGGCCCTCGTTTCGTTAAGAGCAAGGAAAACACCATGCATTCATGTGCAACAGAAAGAACTCGACTGATGGGTACTTGCAGCAAGCTCTTAACATTGTGTATCAACCACTAAAATGACTGCTCAAACAATTTCAACAAAAAATTGCAAAATGGTGTAACGTCTTTAAGCACATTTCGCTATTAGCAACATTTGCTTAACAAAGTACTAATTTCAAGGTGAAAGATTCCTATCTATTGATTAGTACTTGTTTTGCTGAAAAAAGAGACAACAGGAGGGTTTCATACTGTTGTATTTTTTATTGACAAATCTTAAATGACTGAATCAGGTACACAGACTTCAAGTTCAAATGAGTCAGGTGAGCAGAATTTGGGTTTGATCTTACTGTAAGATTGAAAGGTGTTAACAGGTTCACCGACTTGTTTTATGCACCAGTACCTGTCATGAGGGTGCATTGCCGTTCGGTTTTAAACACTCTAAAATACTGAAAAACAGGCAACGCAGCTTTTAGTAATTGTGATATATGGGGTGAGCTTCTGGCAATGAAGGGATGCTGATGATCCTGTGAGGTTGGTTAGAAGTCCCTGTTTGCTAAGGAGTTAAACAAATGCACAGATGTTGAGCGTAAGCCTGCACCTGACACAGTCAGCGAAAAGCGGCAAGAAGGCTCTTGGTTATTCACAGAGAAGACAGCTTCGCACCGTTATGCCAGAATGGCTTTCAGTCTTGCTTCGTTGCAGACTCCAAAGTATTTTCTGCGGGAGATGCAGATCCTTGGTTAACAAATGTCGGCCTCTTAATAGTCCATTTGCTTTTCTTCGTTATCTTTGCTGACTTTTCAGAAACAGCACAGCTTGAAAAACATTACGTGATTGTTTATGGCAGTTCTTCCCAGGAGGTTTTCCCTTGTTTTGGTCTTTTAAAGTAGCAGAGGGAAAAAACTTGCTTTGTCCAGCAATGCTGTTTACTTCTTGGCCATGTTATTTAGGATTCTACCACACATGCTCATTTAATCTTCCTCTCATGTCTTCTCCCCCTCCTTCCTTCCCAAACTGTGCATCTAAAAGGTATTCAAGCAGATCACTTCCTTCTACAAGGCCTTCTGTTCTGTTTTTCCTGGAAGGAGCGGAGTTTGTCCGTTTTCCTTCTCTGTGAGGGTTTCAGAGAAGTGTGTAGCCTCCCAAAGATCAGCAGGCCTTTGCAGGACCCGTTTGGACATAATGTCTCTCTTTCCATGCAGAGAATGGACACCACTCTGAGTGACATGAAGGAGAAAATCGATAATGCGCAGTGTGCTCTCCCACTCTTCACGTGTCTCCATGTCAAACCAGACGTCTCCGAGCTGATGTTTGCAGGTACGTTCCCACTCTATGTATGGAGTCGCTTGAGAAAAGGAGAGAGAAGGGCGTGGCTGAAAAAAAACTCTGTTTTTTTAATACTTCTGAGAATAATTGTATCCTGCAACTTGTACACACAGAAATCATTAGTCTCATGGCAAGGATTAGGAAAGAATTTGCCGTGATATGAAACATTCTTCGGGGCTTAACAGAATTGGTGTTGTTACAAACTGAGTACAGGGAGATTTAAATTTGTAAGAAGAGGAGGAAGTTGTGACGTTGAAGGATATGCCGAACAGGTACATCGTAAGGACACTTCTGAAGGGTTTTGAAAGGTGGTGGGGAAAGGGACACATTTGTGTTCAGCAGCTTCTGGGAGTCTGACAGCAGAGGATGATGAGCAGAAGATACTCGGGGACAAGTGATCACATACTGAGGTAGGTGGAAGTTTATTGGGTTGGTGCAGTATTTGCACCGAGGTTACACGGTTGTGCAGAACCGGCAGCAAAAGGACGTGCTCCTCATGGCACACCGTGGAACGGAGCCGGTTCTTGGTGTTGAAGATGCATCTTTTCCTGTCCGTGGAAAGTCAGCAGACTCTATTTTAGGTCAGTGGCCTTTGGTTTCTTTATCATTCTTGGGTTTGGAGACTTGTTCTTAGACCATTTTGCAAAGGTTATTTTTACTTTTTTGCCTGAAAAGAAGTCTAACAGAGTAATGGCCTCTTTAGGTTTCTGTGAACTGTTAAGTGGTGGCCAAGTTTTTTTTCTCTGTATGTTACAACAAAATTATTTCCTAGCAATTGAAAAGAATATCGGTTATCCATGAAGTAGCGAAGTAGAGTCAAGACAGCGAGAAAGCTGGTGTTTCTCCAGCGGCAGAAAATTGCTTAAAATCAGTTTATTAGGCAGGCAAAGGGAAATGTCTTCAGTCATACAGGATTATTCCTTTGTCCAAGACGAGTGAAATTAGAATTGAACAAACAAATTAAATATACTCCCTCTTTTTTACTTCTTGCACAGTGTAAAGTACTGCTGGTAACACAAAAGGGGCTTTTGCTTTCATTTATTTCAGAGGTTTGTGTCCCATCTAGAAGCTTCAGCTGAGAGTGGGTCCAGTCGTGCTAGGTGCTGTACAAAAGCATCTCTGTAGCTGTAGAGTTGGATATAGAAGACCGAGAAGGGGAACATCAAGTGGCTTGCCCAAGGTTTATAAGTCAGACACTGTATCTACATTTCCTGCAAAATTCTTTGGAAAAGTTGCTGTCAAAACTTTGTTCATAATGGAAAAGGAGGTTGTAAATTAGGTTAAATTTTTCATGGGAGAACGTCTGCGTTCCTACTTAGGAAACAGAAACCTCTGTGTTTGAAAATAAACATATGTTGCTTTTTGCTGAGCTTCTGTTTTCTGAGACCTGGTATTTGGGTGACGTATTCACCGTTTTAAAAACAATGATCTTTAGTTAGTAATGGCCTTCTCTAAGCGAGAGCAGAAGCACCCGAAGGCTGGTGTAGTTTCTCTAGCCTTACCAATTGGTCTAAAACAGGTATTGCTTCTGCCAGTCGAGCTGATTTTTGCTTTATTGAGGCTATCGTCTACATCATTATATAGGATGCTAGAGCTTGATTCTTTCTATTGTAAGCTTTTTCCCTGCTTTTAGAATGGAACAGCTGTTCTCGATGTGAAATACATAGTAAGTTTTCAACAGAAATATTTACACTTTTTTTATTTATTAGATTGTAGCTGTAGTTGAGATTGCTCATGTTTTTTCAAGTTGAAATGCATTAATTGTGTCAGAGAACATTCCTTCCTGGAGCGATGGTGCAGGATTTCATGCAGCTGCTGACAGCTTTCATGCCCCGGGCTCTGCACATTTTCCCTCCCAACAGCATTGGAGCCAGGCGGCGGCAGCCATACCCAAACCTGCAGTAATCAATTTAATTGAACATCGTTATGGTGGTTCAGGTAGACAGCTCTTTTTTTTTTTTTTTAATTATGGTATCTTCTTCAAGGATAAAAAATTACGTGCAGATACTGATACCCAGTGTTAAAGAGGGGAGTGGAATTTAGTGTTCAGCTGTGGTATTGCGTGCTTCCATCCCCGAACAGCCTCTTCACCAGCTTGGCTGCTGCGATGCCAGACCAGTCAAAATTTGGATTTTGGGGTTTCGCTCTTCAAAGTCGTTATGATAAACTTAGGTCTGTGGGAGGGTGAGTGTGTGTGGTGCTCCATACCAGTAAGTGCTGCAGAGTTCATTTGGGAAGCAGGGCTGCCTTGAGGCGTGGATTCACAGCCCGCGGATCCCAGGCTCCGGGTTCCAGCAGGCTCCTGCAGCCGGTGCTCGGCTGGCCGTGTTCGTCACGCGGACGGGACTGGCTGTGGGGTTTTGCTCTGCCCGCACGCAGCAAGGCTGGGCTGCGCAGGGAGCCTGGTCTCGCTGTGTGAGTACGGTCCGTGCGTATGTATGCCCTGTCTTGAGGCTGCCGGGTGCTTGAGACTGGCAAAGTGTTACCTGTCTTCTCTCCGGAGAATGGGAAGGAACCGTGGCATCTGCAGCTGATACGAAGCAGTGCAGAGTTATGAGCTGACTTACACCAGGGCCACATCCAAAATGCAGCAAACACAGCTGAGAGGTTTGACTGCAGTACAATTTGCATTAAGCCACAGCCAAGAAACTAGCCTGGTTTACTGGGATATGAACAGTCAGTAATTCTCTTGATACAGAGTTCTCGTCTCTTGGGACATTCGAGTCTTACTCATTTAAAAGGCCACTGTCTCAAGGTGCTTCTGGAATGGCAGAAACGAATGCTGAAGCCCTTTCATTTTAAGGCAGAAATCTTATCTCCCGAAGCAGAATATGTGATTTGAGAAATCATCTTCAGTGCAAATCAAAATGGAAGTGGACTATCACAGGTTAAATGAATTCTAATTCTAAATTCAGCGTTGCTGTCAGCATGGTTCTGAATACATATCTGCCAATTCCAGTTTAGATATCTAAAGGGAAATGCCATTGAACTCCGGGACTGGGTCTTCAAAGGAGTTTCCTTCTGCTCCAATAAATGTGAAGATTTGTGGGTGGTTTATTTGGAAAATGGGATGTTGTATTTGACTTAGCATAGATAAGCATTGCCCCATGAAACGAAACTCTCAGCGGTCGTGATTAAATCTTCCCTTTTCAGGAGAAGTGCTTAACCTTGTGCTGGATGTTTCAGTGGAAACACTGAATATCTTGAGAGTGGATGGCACGCTATGACTTGTGGGGATTTTTCAAAGCTGTTTCTTTTGCCTTTCCTCTTCAGAATTACTTCTCCTTTGTTTACAGAAGCAGTCAAATCAATCACAGCTGAAAATGTGGATGATAAAATAGATTAGTAGGTGAAATGTAGGGTATTTGTTGTTTGTTGCTCCCTTTTTGAAATGAATTCTCTGATGCAAGCAACTCCACCGGTATCAAAGAAAGTATTTCAAAATCAGCTAAAATCCATTTTAAAACCCTACCATTCTGTGATTCTGTGATCAGAAAATGCCTTTGAACATTTTATTCCGTATTTTTATTGAGCTCTCCAATAAAATGGCATGTACTTTTAAAAATGTGTTTGGCACTGTTAGGTAGTAATGAGTTTCTCAGCTGCCTCTCAGCTTTGCCTTTTCATGTTGGATTGCACTGGAAACTTTGGGTTTTGGTGGAATCCAAATGCCTCTCCTAGAATATTTCACAACTTTTGTGATATTAAATAATTTTTGTGTTGCCTTTGCCATTGCCCTCCAAATTTTTGGTAGGATCACAGTGAAAGAAAAGAAACTTGGAACTGAGAGCCTCGTAGCGTTTCACATGACAGGGAGCCATACCGCAGCAGAAGATAAAAACCAGATGTCATTTTGTTTTCTCATTCATGATCGTTGCTTTGATACTTCTGTTTTTACAACCTCGTAGTTTTTCACTGAAGTTTGTTGTGATAAGAAAGAATGAGAATTCCTTCTCTGCTGTGGCATTAGGCTGTCCTCATTTGAAATCAAAACTTTGACTTCTGCACAACCGAAGAGATCTTCCTGTTGGTTATTTAGCTTCCTATTTAACTACAGTTCTTTGCTTGGAGAGAGGTTTCATTTCTGTGTGTGTGTTTCCATCCTCTGTTTCTATTCAGTTTGAGATCGCTAGGCAAATTTTGTTTCTTCTTTTGCAGATTGGGTGGAATTCAGTCCGTATGAGATTGGCATGGCAAAGTACGGCACTTTCATGTCTCCCGATTTGTTTGGAAGCAAATTTTTTATGGGGACAGTGGTGAAGAAGTATAGTGAAAATCCCTTGCATTTCTTGATGGGTGAGTATGTGACAGAAAGAGACTTTAAAAGAAAACTAATTTCAGGGGTTAATGGACGAAGACTTTTAAATGTAATCACACAAAGTGTGAGACAAGGAGGAGAGTCCTCAGCTTGTTGGAAGACATCCATTTGAAAGACTTCAGAGGTCTGACTTGGCATTCCTTGTTCTTTTTGTTTCTGGTGTGTACGGCTGAGCTTCTGACTTAGCGTGTTCCAAAACCAGAGCTGCGTTCAGAGAGCAAGCAACTGCTTGAACAGTGCAGTGTGTGGTGGGTGGGTGGTTTTTTTCTGCTGCCAGCCTCCATTCATTGTTTATCTTTCCCTTTCAGGCGTCTGGGGCAGCGCGTTTTCTAAATTGTTTAACAGAGTCCTTGGCGTCTCCAATTCTCAAAATAAAGGTCCCACCATGGAGGAAGAATTAGGTAATATTAGTCGATAATTCTTCTGCTATGCAAAGCAATTAGTCCTCTCTAATCGGTGTCCTCTCACTCTGCGGAGGGATGGCACTATGCTCACAGTCATTGTAAGAATGCGGAGTGCG